CCCGGCATGGAGAGCCTGAGCAACAGCCTGAAGAAGAAAGCCACGGAGCAGCACTACAGGGCGGAGGTGATGATTGCTGGAGAGCAGCTGAGGTAGGAGGTGATGGGGCGCTTCTCCCGGCTGCAGCCCGTTAGCAGGAGGCTCAGAGCTTTACCCTTGAGCAAGCTCTTTCACCCCAGGCGCTGGCATCTCCCCTCCCGGCTATCTACCCATCCTTCCTTTACCCACCAAACCGGTGGTGAGCCAAGTCCTTTCCTGTGTGACCTTGTCCTGCTGCTCCTCCCTGGGCACGTCCTGTCCTTCTCCACCTCCTGGTGCCAGGGGACGGGCAGGTGGTTTTAGATGGCAACAGGTTTTTCCGCTCCCTTCGCAGTCTCCCGCAAACTCCGAGCCTGACGTGGTGACACGGAGCAGACTCCCCAGGCTCCCTGGCTGGGTGGGGGCAGCACCCTCTCTGGGGACTTTGGGAGGTGATCTGGGAGCTCATCCCATGGGTGCCCTGTGCCTGAATTGTTTTGCACACCAACGTGTAGGTCCTTTCCTCTCTTGAAAACTACTTTGGGAACTTCTGCTGGTTTGTAGTCTCAGTTCTTGAGCAACTTCTGAGGGTTTGTTTGATTGTTTTTTTCCTTATGAAGACAGAAATATATTCTATGCAAGAAAACCTGTGTGGCTGAGAAAACATGTTCCTTGTGTATCCAGGGTCAGAAAAAATGCGACTGTAGGCTTTTCTAGGTCTTGAGCAGAATTTGCTTGTTCGTATCTAGAGCCATTCTCATTTGTTTTGAAATGTGGGTGGAAAATAATGTAAAGAGCCCAAGTTTGCTAGCATCAGCTTCCTGAAATCGGCTCTGTGTCGCTGCATTATCCGTTCTCAGTGAGTCATGTTAGCCTTAGCTATATTATTTGTACTGTATCAAGGACTAGGGCCCCATCTTGAAAACATAGCCAATGCCCTAAGTGGCTTGATTTTGCAAACACGGGCAGCACAGGGAGCAGACCCGACCTGCCTTTGGGCGGCTTTGGCTGCTTCACACCCGTGACCTGCTCTTGAATGACTCGTGCTCTTTGTGGCGTGAAGAAGAGCAGGAGGATTTTGTCCAGCACGGCTGCTCTCTTCTTGAGCTGTGTTTTGCAAGCGGTGGTCTGAAGGCTGAGGAAGGACGGCCGTGATGGAGAGGTGGGTCCTCTTGCTGGTGGCTTGGCACAGAGCAGCCACATCCTTCTGCTTTGATCTGGGCAGGAACCTCTTCCCAGGGCAGAAAGACTGGAAGGAGCTGCTGACCAGCATGGGGTGGAAAACCTGGGGAGGAGGGTGAAGAGATGGACACCAGCCTGCAGCTGGACTCCTCCTTCCCCTGCAGCTCACCTGGCTGAAAGGAGAATGGAGTGATGCAGAGCATGCTGAGGGCTTGAGTCTGACTTTTGTGTTTTGGGGATCTTGCAGCCAGACAAGTAAGGAATTAGTGATATGGATCTTCCCAGGGCTTGGATGCTCAATACCAATGGGGAAACTGAGGCAGGGAGGCTGGCTGGTGTCTCAGGCAACATGAGATGGGGCAGGGCTACTTGTCTGTGTTGTGCCCCCCTGCTTTGCCCCAGGTGAGGAATAAAGAAGTATTTAAAATTGCCTCATGGTCTGCTGTGGCTTTGTAAACCTCCATCAGCAAATAACACTGTTGTATCTACATAAAATCTCAAACATTTGTTTTACCTTGTTCTCTGCCTCCTGCCCTGCCCCCCATGCTATTGTATTTAATCAAACAAACCTTTGCTCCATCTTTCTCAGTTCTTTGGCTTGCCGGCAAGTTTGCAAATCCCTCTGAGTTTGGTTTGGCCGTAGGGATGCGTCTGTTCAGTGTCAGGATTTGTTTCCCAGCCAGAAATAGCCACACAAGTGAGGGGTGAAGGAACGCTCTGCCGGGACAGCCGGGAGCAAAACAGATCCTGAGGGAATCGAGGGGCGAGTGGATGCTGTGCTTTGGGCTCTCTGCCAGGGTCCTGCACTTCTAGTCCATGGGAGGAGGAGTCTTCTGGGTCTTGAGTCTCCCCCCATCAAAAAGATGATAATTTCCACCAATATTTTGAAATTTGTTCTGAGAGGGCGGCTGTCTCAGGCTCGTTTCTCACATCTCTCACTGTTGGTCTTTTTGCTTCAGAAATACAAACTTGCATGAAAATCGTGCTAGTTTTACCAGGTGTTGTGTGTTCCTGGGTGGCACTCTGTAAGAGAGGCCCAATTAATCATTCCTAATTGCAACAAATGGCTTATCTGCACAGAGGTATTCTGGAACAGCTACCGTGCTTTGAATTCACACCCTGCTGTAACCTGAGTTTCTCAAGTATGGACAAGCCCTTGTTCACTCTCTTCTGGGTATTCTGCTGGTCAAGTGAACCAGCTGTTCTCTAATAACTCTGTTAAGCTGCATTAATCACTTTTAAACATATTTTGTACATTTACGTCTTGGGCAGAAAAAGTGAGACGAGAAGGAAAGTTTTCTCCTATGAAAAGTAAAATTGCCCTGTCCAAAATGTTCAGGGGCGCCGGCTGTTTTATTTGGATACTTAAACTGCGAAACTGCTAAATAAAGTGCTCGTACTTTGATGCTCTGGAAACTGGGCTCACTTAAGGGCGTGTAGCTGAATGTGCCAAAATCTGCACTCCTGGCCAGAAGTCTTGGGTCCACAGGAGGTTTGGAGATTTGAACTCGGACCTCTTGCAGCAGGGATGTCTTCTTGGAGGGATCTTGGGACACTGCTTGATGTGACAGTCACCAGGAGAACGTTATTCGGAAGATGAGATTACATGATCACAATGGCCGTAGAAACCCCGTTATTAAATTTTCAGCACTGGAGGAAGTGAGGACTGGAAAGTAGACTGGGAAGTAGACTTGTGCCTGCCAAGATTTCTTTTTGACATATAAGTCTTGTTTTCCCATACGTACATTGAAATACACGTAGGAAAATAAAACATCTTGGTACCACTTTGGGTGGCCATAGGTGTGCAAAGCTCTTCCCCTCTCCCCTGGAACGTAGTGATGCTTTTGCAGACTGGGAGGGCAGCAAACTGGGTTTTGCTGAGGCCTGTTTGCAGCCTTCGTTTTGCCTGAATGTGCCTCTCCAGCAGCTGTTTTCCAGATAAGCTGTTGTGGCTGCTGCTGCCTTTTACCAAGCACTTAGTTGATTGTTTGCTTGGGGTTTTTTTTTTGTATGTGAGTGTGGGTTTTTTGTTTGTTTGTTTTTTTTTCCTGTAGAGATAGAAGAGAAGCAATCCTTTGGGTGACCCATCTCTCCAGGGCCATCTGTTTGCAATTCAGCGCTGTGCAAATGTGAACTGGAGTTAATATCCTTGACAGATCTGCCTTGGCATTTGAGATGCTCAAGGTCTGTCTAGGTGGGTACCAGGTGATGGAGAGTGCCCCGGGGAGACATTCATTCCTGC